CGCCGCCGAGCCCCTCCTTCTCCGCGGCTGCCACCCCCTTCCCCGGCGCCGCTGCTTCTCCCCAACTCCTCCCAAACCTCTCCCCCCTTCCTCCCTCCCATCCCACCCCTTTCCATCCTCCCTTCCCGACGCCGCCGTTCTCTGGCCTCCCACCTCCCCCTGCCGCTCCTTCTCCTGTCTCCCATCCCACCTTGGCTTCGATCTCAAATCCACCGAATCCTCCCGCTTCCTCTCCGCCCGATCCGCCCTAGACCTTCCCCTCCACCAGCTCCTCGCCATCGCCAACGCCGCCGGTGCCGCCCCCATTCGCCTCGGCCTCGACATCGCCGGCGGCACTGGCACTCTCGCAGCGCGCCTCAAGCTCACCCTCAACGCAACTCTCCTCACCACCACCATGAACCTCGGGGCGCCCTACAGCGAGGCTGCTGCCCTGCGCGGCGTCGTTCCCCTCCACGCGCCACTTCAGCGCCCCCATTCGCCTCGGCCTCGACATCGCCGGCGGCACTGGCACTCTCGCAGCGCGCCTCAAGCTCACCCTCAACGCAACTCTCCTCACCACCACCATGAACCTCGGGGCGCCCTACAGCGAGGCTGCTGCCCTGCGCGGCGTCGTTCCCCTCCACGCGCCACTTCAGCAGCGCCTCCCCGTTCACGACGGCGCCATGGATCTGGTGCGCACTGGTCACGCAGTCAACCGATGGATCCCGTTGCCGGCGCTCGAGTTCCTCATGTTTGACGCCGATAGGGTTCTCAAGGCAGGAGGACTGCTGTGGGTCGACCATTTCTTCTGCAAGGCGGCTGATCTCGACACGGTGTACGGACCCCTAATTGCGAGGTTGGGTTACAAGAGAATCAAGTGGGCGGTGGGGAACAAGACCGATTCCGGCGGGACCAAATACGGCGAGGTTTACCTAACTGCACTATTGCAGAAGCCCATTGGGCCGCCGCCTGTGGCGGCGACCATCGTCAGCGGAATTGGCAAAGCTTGACTCTTTACATTCTATATGTTAACGTCTTCTGGTTTCTTCAGTGAAGATCCCTGTAAGTTGAGTTTAGTATGATGATCACATATCTGCTTGCGCTTTTCAGCCATGGAAAACAGTGGGTAAGCTCCATAGCTCAACAGTGTTGGGCAGAGTAAGCTTCAAATTCATCTCGCTTGCGGTGCCCAAACCACTTGATGAAATCTGATCTCATGGTGTCGGTGCTCTCTGTTTTATTTTTTTTAATTTTGGAATTTGAATTCTAAGGTTGTGTTACTCAGCAAACTCGCTCTTCAAACTTTTTTTTTTATTACTTTCTAATCTGATTCACGTGAGCACATCAGTCACCAGCTTACAAGATGATATTATCCTCTGCAACTTAGGCCTTCTCCAACCGAACTCAAAACGCATGAATGGCGTCGCTCGCAGCTCTAGCTGAACGGTAAAATTTACGGTATTTGATTCCGGGAGAACAGTGCGACACTAATATTGGCGTAGCACTGTTCACCTGCATTATTTTTATACCCTACCGGATTTGTCGAAGAAACAACGAAAGATGAGAAAAACCGTTACCTTCTACTAATGGTTCAAAATGGAGTTCTATTGAAGATGAATCATGCCATTTTTTAGTTTCAATGCATTTTGGAGTGAAAAAAGAGATTTTCAGTTGGAGATGCCGATATTCCTCCTACCAATAAAATCAAGGATTAAAGAATTATTAATTATCAAACAATAAAATCACAGTCAACCTCACCAGTAATCCTTGCAAGAACACTGCCCTCCATGGAAATGGTGAAACCTATTACGATCCCTCACGATAATTTCCCTCTCATAAACCTTGGAAATGAGCTTACTTGCCTCATGGCAATCTCTGCACACTCTCAAGTTCTTAGAAATCCTTATCGTTTCTCCCTGCTTTGTGTGCAATAACCCGAAAGCAATTGCCAGCTTTTCACTGTGAAAGAAGACCGGACTCTCTTTTTCCTCCATATTCTCAAAGCCATTGAACACTCCACCTCTATCAGGCACATAGCCAACCAGTCTGATTCTCTCCAGCATCTTCTCCACCATGGCATAAATCTGGGAGGTCTCAGGATGGTACTTCCCTCCAGCAATAAATTTGTTCACCACACCATTCTTTTCAATAATTGACCAACCTGCTTCTTTCTTCACCCCTCGATCGTTCATTAACCTCCTCACATTGGCCACATCGTCCCATCGACCAGCGCTTGTGTAAAGATTAGCGAGGAGAATGTATCGGCCACTGTTGTTTGGATCGAGCTCAATGACCCTATGGCCAATTTGTTCCCCCAGTTCAACATTGCCATGAATCCTGCAGGCCCCAAGTAGAGCACCTAGAATACTGGCATCTGGTTCAATGGGCATTTCATCGAGCACCTTCTTAGCTTCTAGTAGCAGGCCAGCTCTCCCTAATAGGTCCACCAAGCATCCAAAATGCTCTGTTTTGTGTTCAATATCATGAACTTTAGACATGTAATTGAAGAAGTGCCGCCCTTGATGAACTAGGCCTGCATGAGCACATGCACTGAGGAGATTGACGAGAGTTATATCATCTGGTCTCACCATTTCCTTTTCCATCTCTTTGAATAGATTAATGGCTTCTTCACCTCTGCCATGGATTGCTAGTCCTCCAATCATGCAATTCCAAGATGAAAGCCCTTTACTTTTCAAGCCATCAAAGACCTCATAGGCCTTCTCCAAGCATCCACACTTGCAGTACATGTCTATGACGGTGGTGGCGAGTTTCGAATCGAGTTCAATCTGGTTCCTTTCAATCTGTTTGTGAATCCATTGGCCCTGCTCTAATGCTCCGAGCCCTGCACAGGCAGCCAGCATGCTTGCTGCGGAGAATTTGTCGAGCTCTACTCCATTGTCCTGCATCTGATAGAAGAGCTGGAATGCTTGGTGGAAACTTTGATTCTGTACATACCCTGACATCATGGCGTTCCATGATACGGAGTTTCTTTCAGGCATGTTGTCGAATAGGTTGCGAGCATCGTCGATCAGGCCTAGGCGGCAGAGGCCTGTGATCATTGTTGTCCATGACACAACGTCCCGGTGAGGCATTTTGTCGAATATGCGGCGGGCATCAACGGGGAGAGCGAACGTAAAATATAAATTCAGAAGATTGTTCTGTGAGAAGGTGTCGGGGTGGAATCCGAGCTTGAGAACGTGAGCGTGGACCTGGAGGCTGGCGGTGAGAGATTGTGCGTATCCAGCGGAAGAGAGGGATTTGAGGAGGGAGGGGAAGGTATAGTGGTTGGGTTGGACGGAGCGGAGGAGCATCTGGATGTAGAGATGAAGTGGGGATGGGAGAGAGGGGGAGCGAAGAAGGGTGTTGAAGATGTAGGCGTCGGGATGAGGGAGGAATTGCGAGAGGCGGAGGGCGTATGGAAAGTCGCCGGCTGGGGAGAGGACGCAAAAGCGGAGGAGGCGGCCGACAGCGTCGTTGTCGGAGGAGAGGCCGAGGCGGACGAGTTGGGAGTGGTGCTGCCGAAGCTCAAGCATTGTGGAGCAGGAGTCTAGTCGGCGGAGTGCGGCATGGCGACGGACGCGCAAGTCTTCCGTGATTGTCGTCGTCGGCGGTGGAAGAGGTACCGTCAAGGCCATCAGAGCAAGAGACCGTCTTGATTGCTCTGGCAAATGAAGACTGGCTGAGCGATTGAAAATCCAGTAGCAATGATCCGCGCTCAAATCAGTGTTTTTGAAGGTAGGGGCAAGTTATAATTTCAAGCTAGTATATTTAAGGGATTTGTGTAGCTTAAGGCAAAGGTTTTCTTATTATTTCTTAAATTAATTTTTTATAAAATATTTTAAAAGGAATAAAAAAGTTATCTCAAATAAAACCTATAATAAACAAATAAATAAATATTGGTTAACACTATAAAAGTATTAATAAAGGCATTAAAAAAATCTAGCCGAAAAGAAAAAAAGAAAAAAAGAATATCATGATTAAGTAAAGACATACCAACACTTCCCAATGGCAAAATTTTGGTAAGGAAGAAGACATTAATGCTGGGATGAATCCATGCACTAAGAGGTTATGTATTCACTAATAGAAAACGAGTATAAAGTAATTCTCAAATATGCATAATAGTGATAGTCATAAAAGAAAATGGGATTATAAAGATTTAGTTTTGAGTAAAATTCAAACTTGAAATTGAAATTGTTCGGAGACGATCGGTACTTGATGCACAACTAGATGAAAGATTTGTCAACACGTAGCTTGGCCTTTATATAAGGTTACAAAATAATCTCAATCTCCATCTCTGATCCTAAATTGCATCCATTGCAAACGTTACATGTTAGAATATTCGTGATAGTATAGTTAAAGGGTTTATTGTCTTAGTATTTACACAAAGTTTCAACATATGCATAAATAAGAGATAAGTGCAGGAATTGAAAAAGAAATTAGAGTTTCCAAACCCAAGAAAAGGAATGATACCACGGGCTTGGCCCAACAATATTGATTCAACTAATGTTTGTCATTGATTACAAATGATATCTTTCTTTGTGGAAGGCATTGATTCAATGTAGTAATCATACAATGTATAGAACATGCTATGTAGATAAAGTTAGAAGAGTCATGTGGCATGAAAGATAACTTTAAGAGGCTTTTTGCTCTATGTTTATTCATCCTCTTTTGAGGAGGGGAGATCAAAAATCAAGAAGTCTAACATAAGTCATGATACTGACATTAGAAGTTAGATTTAATGTTGATGGAATGCAATGATCTTATAACATGATGCATGTTGGCATTAGTAGTGATGGCAGTTGATCAAGTCAGTGGTCATCGGTGTAGCCATGTGACAATGGTCAAAGGACTGTAAGTTAGAGGATAGTAGTCAGCAATATATATCAAAGGAACATAGTTAGATAGTGATGGTCGAATGATTATAATCAAGTGATGGAGGTCCGAGGATTTTTGTTACACAATGATGATTGGAGTACTATAATCAAGCGTCATTGATCAGAGGATTGTAGTTATGTGATTATGGTTGGAGGATAGTAGTTGAACGATGACGTTTGGAAGATAATTATCAAGTGATGGCAATGTGATAATAATATTCATGCAATATTCTAATGGTAGCGATTGATTGGTGCCTCAATAAGGATGCTCAAGTGGAACTTCGAGATTATTAGAGCCTCTGAGCTCTCTTAAATCTCAAGCCCAGTCTAAGCTGCAGATTCTCCTCTCATCTAGAGAGTAGGGCTTATTTATAAAAAAAATTAGCATGCCCATAAATATAGTCAAAATTCAAAACACCCTATTAAACAACTCATAGAATTTTCCTCCATCGACTTAGTGATGGTAAGAGGAAAAACAAAGGATAAGGAAATAAGAAGAAGCAAAGGAAAGAAAAAAAGGAATAAAAAGAAAATTAAGAGGGGAAAGAAGGGGGAAAAGATAAAGAGAAGAAAATTTCAAGAAATTGTATTTTAAATATAAATTTATTTTCCGAAAAGTTTATTGTTAAAATATATTTAATTATTATTTAGGAATTCCGATGTATATAAGAAGGGGAATTTTGAGGAAACATACTATGTATAAGGAGAGAAAATTTTGACGTATGTGATTTTGAGAATAATTCTAATATCTTTATTTGGTGCGGGTAGAAATTCATATGAAAACAAATATTAAGTCTCTTGCATGTATAATTACACCTGAACTAATTGTATTTATTATTCATTAGCAATTCTAAATATTATTGAATGGAATCTTATTACATGTTTTGCTAAATGATACACTTTTAAATGAAAATTATATGGTATGTACAATCTTCTCTTATACATATATGATATTTCTTATTTAATGTAAATCTACATATATCATGCGTAAATGATAAAGTATATGCAGTGATTAGAAATTAATTAGCCTGAGACGATATCATATTAAGTGATCATAATTAAATAATTTTGTGCTCATTGGACTCTTCTCATTGATATGCTTAATATTATTATAAACATCAAGATATGGAGATCCTTGATTTATAAAATTCGAGCACATTACTCTTTAATTTTAGCTGATCCTTGACTTGTAATTCCGAAAAATAAAGAGTTACATCAACAATCTAAAAGATCTTTTTCTTATCTTTTATATTTGGGCAAACGAATTTTATTTATTTTAGTACACTTTTACTTGAATTTTATTTGAGATATTTTTCTTATTGCTTTTTAAAACAATTTTTTAATATAAAATTTTTTTATTTGAATAATTTTCATACTAAAAAACTGCTTTACAAAACACTAAAAAAAACTATTCCAAATATAACCTTAACGTTTTATGACGACTTTGTTGAAAAAGCATCTTATAAAGCATGAGATTGTTGAAACTGGACAATCATTCATAATTTATCAGCCTATTATTATTCCATTAATTTTTTTTAATCACCACAACTACAATAACAACATCATCCCAATTATCCACCGTCCACTGCTCCGAGCTCTAATCTCAACGCCCGATATCCGAGGCTGAGATCTTCAACTCTATCGGAAATTTTCAAACAGTTCGAAGGTACCATTGGAATGACACGTGTATGAATCTACATCGAGATTAGAGTCAATTAATCCGGACCCACCTCAGAGAGAAAAACGAAGCTATTGTAATCTGGAACTAATAAATGCCCAAACAACGCCTTCCGTGTCCCCCGTTCAGCTGCCGTCCACGCCACGGCTGTCGTTCACGTGGCCGCATCTAGACCGTAGGTTAGGGCGCCTAGTTGTCTCGAGGGATAACAGACCTCTTTTCTCCCGTCTCCTTCTTTCCTCGTTGTCTCATCTATTTGGAGCTCCGGTTTCTAATGGACGATCGGTTGGGAAGCGAGAAGCCATTACCTGGCTGGCTTTATTCGCCTACTCTCACCTCCATGTATTAGGCGATCAACCAATCCGTTCGGTCGCGCTTTATCTAGCCGGTGGAGTGGTTACGGTCACTTACCTTTCTTTCTATTCTTGATACAAGCAAAATGGTTCGGGTTTAGCTTTGAAAGTGGGAAGAAGAAGAAGAGAAGAAGAAGAAGAAGAAGAAGAAGAAGAAGGAGAAGAGAAGGATATGGTTGGAATCTTCTCTCGCTTCTCTTCGAGGAGCGGACACAGGAGGACTCAGAGCGCAGCGGTAAGGTTTTGGGCATCGGTCTTTTAAATTGCGGGAGTTTGAGATTTAGGTTTTCATTCTTTTTCTCGCGCGCGAGGGTCTGATTATTGTTGTAGAGTAGTAAAATTTTCGATTTTGATTTTTATCTGCCTATGTGATTTACGACCAGTGGAAAGGTAATTTGATCTCGGTAGAAGCAAGCATAGCAGGATTTGGATTTTTTTAGGGCAACAAGCAAGCAGTTCTCGTTATGTATAGCTATGATTTGATATTAATTTGATCCTATATCAGGTATTGTTGAGCGAGAAAGTTTGGGATGGCAGAAATTGGGGATTTTTGTGCTTGATTTGACTTATAATCGAGTTGGATTAAGTGCTTTTGATTTGACTGATATAGATATTTTAGTTCTTCAATATTGGCAACCATATCCCTGTTTTTTAATCCACTAAGCGACTGTTGAGAATGCTTTTTTCTACTAAGATTTTTCTGTACTTATTTGGTATATGTACTGTGACATCTTACAGAATGTGAGAGAAAGGGCACAGAGCTTGGAGGTAAACATTCCAATTCCTGTTTCTACAACCCATGGATTTGAGGTTGCTGTAGAGTTTAAACCAGTTGAACACCCAATAGAGCCTCTCAACCATGATCAGCCTGTGCGATGTCCTATGCCCGAGCCATCCATACTAAATGTGAGTATGGGACAGTCTGGAAGTTTAAAAAATATTCTTTGGCTTTGTTTGAGACAACTTTTTTTCTGCTTCTTAAGAATATGGCGATTATTGATCGTTAAAGCAGTAAGAAAGCCGTCTCAAACGAAGCCTTTATTTCTGTTATTTTCTCAATAATTTATGCTAAATTTACAGGCTTTCATACTACTGTTTATCACATGACTCTAGCTATTAGATAGATGATTAAGACTCTTCCTTGCTCTATAAATTTTTTTGTTTTCTGTGAGTAGTTTGATATGGTGGGAATTATGTAAATGCAATGGCCTTGAACATTCTATTTTTTACAAGAATTAGCTAACTTGAGCTTGGTTGTTACAGCTTCAATTAGATGGTGACTCGGCATGAAAGGTTTGAACAGTCCAAATCACTCTTTTTTTTTATTTACAATGAAAGTGCAGTTATTCTATTTGGCTACTTACCCATTAGCATTTAGCAGCAATGTTACATGGATGATCTTCCATGAATTGTACTATTTTCTTATTTTTTGAGTTGGCAATCTGGACTTTGGGACATATTCTTATTGACCAAGGATTTTTCACACTTCCTGCCAGATTTATGTAAATCATTGACTTTGTTATGAATTGAGTTGTTAGTAAATTTTAAGCTTCTTAGACAAATTTCAAAGAGTTTTTTCTGAGGTTCCTGCATGTAGAGAAACTATTTTAGTGTGTATAGACAGATTCTAGCGAAGTAATACATAAAATGAACAACTTGATATTTGTTTTGCTAAAGTTCACTTTTGTTCATGCTCTTGGCTAATTAAGGCTTCGTTTGGGACGGCTTTCTTTCTGCTTCTTAAAGCAGCTTTCTAGTACAAATTGTACTAGAAAGCTGCTTTAAGAATCAGAAAGAAAGCCATCTCAAACGAAGCCTAAGTCTGATTTTAAAAGTTCATTTTTGTTCATGCTCTTGACTAAAGTTCATATAAGTATGCTTCCTCTGCATCAACAATCTCCACAACTATACTGAGTTCAAGATCTACAGATCGACGGGAGAACGCTAGGTCTTCAGAAAACTATGACCGCATAGGCTTAGTTCCTAAGCATCATAAATGCTTTTCTTTTGTTTTAATCCGTAAGAAATGTGAGGTTTTCTTAAAAAGGCGAGGAACCAACAGTCTAAGGCTTCATTTAAGACGGCTTTCTTACCTTCTTAAAGCAGATTTTTTAATTAAAAGCTACTTTAAGAAGCAGTAAGAAAGACATCCCAAATGAAACCTAAGCCCCTAAAACTTGACTGTCATGTACTCTATTATGAATTATGTACCAGTTTGTGTCAGATAAAGAGGTCATTAATTTTAAAACAGGATCTTCCTCTGTACAACTTATTTAAGTTTGATTATGGTTTGTGCTTGAGAAATAAATAATAAATAAGAAACAAAATCTTAAATTTTGGATCATCTTCAAATTGGCCTAAGCTCAACATAAAATAAAATAAACAAGCTGAACACGTCTATTTTTCAGCCTGGCTCATTTACAACCCCACCTTTCTACTTGTTTTCTTATGACATTCTTTGCCAATTGAACGGCACAGATTTTTTCATTCTCTTGCATGAATATGTCAGGAATCAAATTACAATAGTTGATGAACTTTTTTGTTGTGCCCATATACTGTTAGACCAATCTGGCCGGTCCCGCCGATCCGGCCAGTCCATGCAGGAACGGCCCAGGCGAACGAGGCGGAATGCCTCCGCCTCATGCTTTAGCCGCACACACCGCAGGAGCTAAAAAAGCATTTTAGGAAGGATTTTTGAGGGGTTTGGGAGAGAAATTTGAATGTATAGACTGTTTAGGGATTTCCTTTTAATTTGTATACATTAAATACTTTATTTTCCTAGGGTTAGGGCATCTTGAATTTTGCTGATTTTGGGATCTCTTAGGTTAGGTTTTGGGCTCTAGATTCGTCTAGAAATTGAGAGAGATTGATCCTCCTCTCGAATAGAGGATCACTTGTACTTGTTGTTTTCTTCCGTTAGTTGATTTCTTGCAATAAAATCTACTGTTTTCCTTATTTTCATTGGAGTTGGGAAGAGTTTCTCGCTGTTTTACAAAGATTGATAGAAAATACTTGAGATTTACAAGCGTTTACAGATCAAAATTGTAGAACTGATTGTTGTAGTGTGTCCCTTGCGCCCCCTGTTCTTGTGCCATGTTATCCCTTCTGATTAAAACCTATTATTCTCTGGATTCTATCATCAGAGAGCTATAAGTTTCTGATTTTTTTTTCCAGGATGGAAGAATATGGAAAGAAAGAATGACTTCTGTGAGTGCAAGGATGAGGATTGAATTGCCGGTAGTTAAAGAAGGATCACAGCTTTCACCTGAAGCAGCTGTAGCTAAGACTCCTCGGTCTACACCAAGACGTGCTATATTGCCCTCTGTTAGTGCCCCTGAGGGTAACCTAATAAATCTCCTTGAAGAATACAACGAAGCAAAAGACCAGAATGCTGAAGGAGGGTCAAAAACTTGAAGCAGAATTAATTTACTCAATACAATGTGGTTTCATTTTCTGGGTTTGTTCCTTGTATTTATATCCTTCCATTGGCTGTGTAAATGATTAAACATAGCAGACCTTCATCCTAGGTTTTATATATTATACTGAATTTTCATTTACTTCAAAAGATATTTAAGTTCCTCATCATCATTAGCTTTTTTTTTTCTTAGTTATTAGTGCAACAACAGAATCAAGATCGCCCGATCAATCGATTAGTCGCAAGGGCAAGAACAATGTCCTTGGATTGATCACCCGTGCGGAAAAATGCATTGAGAGCGCTTTCATGTAAGGTTTGTTGTGTCTGAAATTTTAATTATGAAGATGGTTGGATGGAATGGTGTCATTAGGCAACATTTAGAGATGAAAAGAATCACTTACTCGCATAAGAATGCATCGGCTTCATCAATGAAGAGCAACAATCCTCGATTGGATTTCTTCGCCCAATCAAACAATTGATGTATCTTCGTTACTCCCTGTGATCCCAATGGTGCGACATCTCCACCATTCATCAATGCAAAATCTAGTTCCTGGAGATAATTAGAACACTTGAAACATAGAAAACTCTACATCGCCAAAACCATTACCATTTTTTTTTTTTTTGCATTGTTTCCTTTGCTCCGCAATGAGCTCATGGTACGGGAAAAGAAACCAGACCAAGGATGCTTTCATAGCCGCAGCCCTAGCCTCTCCGATTTGTGGTATTCCTCGCTCAGCCGGCCGTTTTCCTAACGCTTCTTCGGCTGCAGTCCGAGCAAGCGTTCCTCGTCTCCATTCAGCGGCACTCTCGAGCTACGAAGAAATCGCGACGAGGAAAAGCAACATTAACGAAGAAATGAAGATGAAAAGAAAACCCCTAAATTAAAAATTAATCTAACTTATCATTTTTTTAAACAATTTAATTAACAATAATTAATTAGATTAGATAAATAATTAATATTATGATTAATAGTATATTTAAATACGCTAATTTAGTTTAATTAAATAATTAGTAGTACAATCAATATTAAAAAAATAAAAGGTTTAATTAATATATTGTAAAATACAAATAATTATTATTGAAATTAACATTATTAATACTTAATTAATAGTAGAATATTTAAATGATTAATGATATAATTAATAATTAAAACTAATTAAAAATTACTTAAATTTTATTAAATCACTAATAGGAGAAATAGTTAAATAATTAATTATCTCAACTATTTAGCTCTAGTATTTTACAACTACTTAATTATGAAGTTAATTAGGGCTATTATGGTGGGGTGTACTCGGATTTGTTATGTGATATGGTTGATTTACATCTACAAGTTAATTTAATTTCTTCATATTTAAATCTCTAACTGCTTTAAATCCTCAAATATATTGCTAAATAATTTTTCAGGATTTAACAAGATTTAATATTTGTCATACGAAATAATTTTCGAGATTTAACAGTCTCGAGACATATTAAATTTAAATTTACAGGATTTATTAAATCCACAAAAGTTAAATCAAATCCAACACCAAACAGCCCCATAGGAAGATCAAAGCCTCCTTCAAAGATAGTATAATTCCAATTTCAAACTTACGGTTTCATGCTGAGATTGTAGAGCCTGGAACTTTGCTTTCTCTGCAGCCAACTCTGTTTTCCTGGTCTCTTCTTGCTTTCTCAAGAATTCAAAAACCTACAAAAAATAGAAGGCAGTTTACAGCTCAAGTTGCTGTTTGGTAGCAGGATTTAGTTCAGATTTGAGCAAAATCCAACCAAACCGCGTAAAATGCAAAACCAAATCTCACGGCAAATGAAAGCTGTCGTAGACGAAAAATTCTGCCTTTTCGTACTAAATCCCGTAATTCTGAAATCCTAATGTTTTACGGATTTACAAAATTCGTTTGCTCCAGAGGAAGAATACGCTCTTTAAATCCATTCTATAATCTAACAGTCACACTAAATTTAATAGGATTTATAATTAATGTTACCAAACAGTTTTTACGATTTATGTCCCTCAGGATTTCAAAAATCCAAATTTAACTTAAATCAAATCATGGGTGCTACCAAACAACCCCTAAGTTTATGTTCTTTAGGTAATTGCCCCCTAGCAGAATTATATACATCGTGTAGAGGGTTATTATAAGTAAATTTAGGCAATTGCCCCCTTAAAAGTTTTAAAATACTACGGTCTTTAGGCAATTGCCCACATCATAACTAAACACATTATGTAGAGATGTTATTGTTAAGAAACAATGAACAAAATACAAAGAGAAATAGTAAAGAGAATTCAAAAATATCCTTACAACCAAAATTTGTTCCGGGGGCGCTGTCGCAAGGGCGTTGCCCCTTGACCCCGCGACCTGATAGGGCAGGTCGAACCCCGTCAGAGGGCACTGCCCCCTTGGACCCCCGACAAATTGTGTAGATGTGTTACCTAATTTTTTTAAGAATAATTGTCATTATATAAGATGCTGATAATATTTTTAAAATGTATTATGTATTCAAGTACAAATAATCATTTATCACTAAAATGATATATGAAAAAAAAAATCTCTATATTTTTACTTATAAATTTGCCTCCCCTGAAAATTAAGGCTGATTCCGCCCCTCGTTGCCACCTTCTTGGCGTGCGATGGATTGTTGATATGTAGGGTTTAAGAATATGGTGATTACTGATCGTTAAAGCAGCCCTCGTCATTGGGGAAAAATATGGGTTTTGAGAAGCGTAGGGTTTAAGAATGAAGAAGGTGTTTCAGGGAAATGGCTGAAACAGCCGTTGATCATGAAAGTCAGCAATTGCTGTCCGTTCGATGTGCCTTGCCATCCAAGCTGCCGCAAGGGTAAAACGGAACCATCTACTCTGATGAAGGAACCATTGGTGGGGGCGTCAAAATTTTAGTCGACCTGAAAATCTGATCAGAAATCAATCCAAAAATTTAGGATTTGGATTAGAGATTTTGACCCGTTTGTAAATTGGGTTGGGTTCGAGTTGACTCGGAAATATGAAATCAATCCGATTTGACCCGTTTTCAATTAATTTTTGGAAAGTTTTAGAAGATTGTTATGAAATGGTAAATGTTATTTCCAAAAAATAATAAATTATTTTTCCCAAACTGGATTAAGATTGATTTATTTTAAATTGATTTACATATTATTTTTCCCAAACTGGATTAAGATTGATTTATTTTAAATTGATTAATGTAAATCTTACCTAAATTCAATTTAGGTTTAAATAAATAGAATTAAAAAATAAACTCGATTTTGTCAGGTCGATCGAATGAGAGAAACATTCGGTCGCAGGCAAAATTCCGTCGAAAAAAACTCGGTACACCTCGGTACAGCGGGATTTTGCCTGCGACAGGATGTTTCTCTGCATCCGGTCGGAGGACGTAATAATTGTTCGTAGGCGTGAGGCGAAGAAGAATATGAAAATACGAAATAAGTTAGGGCGTGTGGCGGGCCAGGTGGTCAGGCTTTTTTATTTGAAGCTTTCTAACTAGGTCGGCTCACTTACAAGCTTAGGTAAAAAAAAAAAAAATTATTTTTCCCAAACTAAATTAAGATTGATTTATTTTAAATTGATTGATGTAAATCTTACCTAAATTCAATTTAGATTTAAATAAATAGAATTAAAAAATAAACTCGATTTTGTCAGTCGTAGCTATTAGGTTGCAAGGTATGAGCATATTAAATATAAGAATTTTAAAATTTGAGTTATTTAATTAATAGGAAAGTAAACACAATAATTTTTTTGGGTATATAAAATTTCCTATTCTGTTCATTTTAAATTAAATGTTTTAATATTGCAAATAAACCTTATTATGGTAAATACATAAATATCCAAAAGGAAAAAAATGATAATGACAATGAAGTTTGATAATTAAGTTGAACTAACTATATAAAAAAAGTTGTGACATATGATATAATTGCTCTACAAAGCATCAAGCAATTAAAGTCTAGTACTAATAAAGCTAAGCTAAAAGCTATTGCACTAAATGCAAGAAAGAGAAGAGTCGGAGTCGGAGTCGCAGTGGAAAACGAAGTCACGAATCGAAATCTGACGAGAAACTTCTTTCAATAACAAGTTATGTAAGCCAAATCGTAGTGGAAGACAAAGGCACGAAGCCGCTCTAGATGTATGCGTGGAAGTTTTATTTGGTCCGGTCGATCGAATGAGAGAAATATTCGGTCGTAGGTAAAATCCTGCTGTACCGAGGTGTACCGAGTTTTTCGAAAAAAACTCGGTACACCTCGGTATAGCGGGATTTTGCCTGCGACCGGATGTTTCTCTGCATCCGGTCGGAGGACGTAATAATTGTTCGTATGCGTGAGGCGAAGAAGAATATGAAAATACTAAATAAGTTAGGGCGTGTGGCGGGCCAGGTGGTCATGCTTTTTTATTTGAAGCTTTCTAACTAGGTCGGCTCACTTACAAGCTTAGGTTCGGGTCCAACCCAATTTGACCCACCTAGAGTTTCTCCGACCAAAACCCAACCCGACTAGGCAAACATGTCAGAAATTCAAATTTTCAGGTTGACTCGACCCGACCCATTAACCCACAGATGCGAACAGGGTACGAGCACAAGCGCAAGGATGCGAGCGCGGGTGAGCCAGGCCAGCGTGGGACCGCTAGTGCGAGGATGCAAACGCGAGCATGGAGGTAAGGCATGCAAGCATGGGATGTGGGGGCGAGCGCGAGAATGAGCGCAGACCACAAGGTGGGGTTACGGGGCTGTGCAAGACATGGATCCAAGTCAATTCCAGGTTGATTTCGAATTTTGGGTTGACTGGAACCCTATCCTCTCCAATAGGTTGACATTGCATAACACTTCGTGCAGATCAATTTAATTACAAAATAAAGTCTGCGTAAAAAAGGATCCTAATTTGTTAATGATTCCATTTGACAACAAGTTATTGTCATCAATATCTTAATTTTTTTGTAAAAAACTACTTAGGATTACCAAATTTGTTAATAATTCTTTTAAGCTTTTTGAGTTCTCTTCAATCTCAAGCAAAATGTCTCCTTCATGTAGAGAATAGAGGTATATTTATAAATTTTTTAGAGTGATATATCCTCTAAATATGGAAAAATTTTAGAACACTCCATTAGACGACCCACATTAATTTTTATTTTTATTAGAGAGAGTTCATTCAGTATTTAAGTGCCTTAATATAG